AAACCTAAAACCCTAAACCCTTGAGCCATGAATGTCAGGTTCTATTTTCATGTTGCCATAAGACGCCAAAACGAGCAACATTGCCCAAAGCCCAGAGCCGAGACCCTAAACTCTGGGTTTAGGGCTTAGAGTTTGGGGTATCCAAAGGGTTTAGAGTTTAGAGTTTAGGGTTTAGGGTTTCAGGTTTTAGGGCTTTAGAGTTGAAGGTTTAGGGTATCCAAAGCCCTAAACCCAAAGCCTAGTTGCAAGGTTGAACTCCATCTCCTCAGCCAGATTAAGGACGTCCCGTTGCCTTGCCTCGGCGAAGGTGTCCACAACCACAGCCACCTCGGGCTTCGGGGTTTTAGGGTTGTTTTGGGGTGTAGGGTTTAGGGCTTTAGGCTTGTATTTTTGGTTTCAGGATTCAAGGTTTTAGGTTTCGAGTTGAGGGGTTTTATCATAGGTTTCAAGATTTAAGGCTTAGGGTGTTGGGGTTTGTTGTTTTAGGGTTTTGGGGCACTTGGGATGTGTACCGCAATATGACTACATGGTACATACTGGGGTTAAGGGTCTAGGTTCAGGGTTGAGGGACCTGATAATGCAGAATCAAACTGAAAACAAAACGGCTCATGACATGAAAGCTGGATTCACATAGGTTACACCAAGGGATTATCACATGCCTGTGCTTTGTAGGTGTAATTTGTCAAGCGCACAGATTGGCCTTTCAGGGATTTAACCCTAAACGCTAAACCCTAAACCCTAAACCCTGGATTTGGGTGCCCGGGTGTGAGGCTCTCTTGAAAGACTACAGGTTGAACCTTAGTGCTTGTAACCCCAGGTTTGAGGTCCCAAATACCCGAACTAACGGCTCTATTCCATGGCCTAGGGATCCAAATTCAAGGGTACAAAGCCTAAAGGTACAAGGTACAACTTCCTAATCTCCAGCGCTTTGGATCTCTAAGCCTAAACCATTCCAGCTTATATCACCCCCTTTAAGGAGTTTGGATTATGGCTCATTTGGGTTCAGGATTAGTTAGACTGCTAAGGTTTTTTAGGGTGAGGCTCTCATGAGCTCTGAACCTGCAATGGGGCTCAGGTTTTGAAGCTGTGGAATTGCCAAGGCAAGTGTAGTAGGGATCGCAGAATCTGGGCGTCCGGCTATCAAGTTGAGAACGCCGAAGATGAGTGTCAGCAAGGAGCCCATGAAAATGATGGCGGAGAATGGATGCGCATAAATGACCTGGGTTGCCAGTTTGAAAGCTCTCACAATATGCACATGTGGCAAAAATATCTGGAGTGCTCAATGTGCTGACTTAGCTTAAGTTAACGGCAACACAGCCACCGGAACGGCAATGTCGCCCCAACTATCGCCCGCGATCACCGTCTTGAAGAGCAAGAGGTTCGCGTGCATGACAGAACTTGTGGCTTGCAAGCACCCGTCGCATTCCCCTAGATCGAGGTCTGCCATGAGAGGGTTGATGACTTCCACTATGAGGAGCGCCCATACAGTCATGATCATGAAGCAGAATACGAAGGACCAAAACAATGCTTTCAGGCATGTTGCCATCATGCCTGGATCTGACAATTTGCAAAGCGCACTTATCATTCGACCATCTTATCCTAGCAGGTGTTTCCAGCCCCAAAACAAAAGCGTGTAGGATTCACACCCCTGGGTGATCCAAAAGCTTCAGTCGGTACTCCAGGGTTTAGGGTTTAAGGCTCCGGGAAGCCTATCCCAGGTGCGTACAAGTTTTTGCAGCTCTCGAAAGCCACGTGTCCGACGCAGCAGCCGGGTCAAGCGCAGGATTCGCACAAGCCGCAAGGCTCTGGATATGCTAATCGTCTGGAGCGCTAAGCCCTGATAGAAATATTGCAGAAACATTTCGATGTACCCGCAGGCAATGACGAACAGGTCCAAGAGGAACATCCAATCTGTGAGCAGCTGCCACCCTCTTGCATACAAAAACAATACCAGCTCCAGAGAATACATTGCCTGAATTGCGTCAAGAGGTTTAAGGTTTAGGCCTTCCAAGTACCCATTCTCATGGCCCTTCACCCCAAATAATGGGAAATGTGGGCTGTCTTTCTGGGCATTTAGGAAAATAGCTTCAAAACGCTCAAGGCTTGCCACTTTAAATGTTTAGGGTTTAGGATTTCGGCTTAAAGGGGTGTCATGGGCGGGAGAACACATTCAGTTGGGTATAATGGTTCTAAAACCTGAAATAGTGCCGTTCTGGAACTATCCTTGATACAGAGGGTGACCCCCAATATACTACAATCCTATTGTAGGGAGCCCCCCTAAAAACGGACCCGTAATTTTGGGAACCACCGTGTAGGAAACAGTCGGGTGAGGTTGTTGCAGATTGACCAGGCCTTTACAGCAAGGAGGGCCTTGGGGCAAACAATAAGATAGCCGTTTCCGCTCAACGGCAACACTGCAAACAACTTCTCATGTTCTTTTTGTTGGCCTATAGTCCCCTTAAGTAGATAGAATATAGGGTATATGGGGATCTTATGATAATATACCCAAAGCCATATTCTATCCTCTTAAGGCGGATTATAGGTATCCATGAAGCCGAGCCAGTGCGCTTCATGGAAACATTCAGATGTTGGGGACATGCGCAGGCTACCTGACCGGGCTAAATCCTCAACGCTCGCTGTGCCCATATACTAGCAGTTTAGGGTTTAGGGTTCCCGTATACTAGCAGAAAGTCAATGTCAGCGCTTTTCAATCTTCCAGTCCTGGAATAGTGGAATAGCTCTTCAGCCCTGAACCCCACAAAGCCCGCCGTGGCGGAGTTCTCAGGAAAATTGATGTCTTTCAGCAGACATGCAGTGTCAACCACAGATGACACATAGTACACGGGCACTTTCCGGTGGGTAGTTCCCAGGTGGGTACCGCCATATAAGGCTCACAAATATAAATAAGTAAATGTGTATAAAAAAACATATAGGCCTCCTTTAAGGGTACCCACCTGATGACTACCCACTTGGAGGTTCTCCTGAATAGCATTGATAGCCCGTGCAACGCTTTTGCTCAAACCCCCGTTTTTTTTTTCCGCTGAATTACGTTGTCGATGCGTTCTTCCCACCACGCAACTGCAAGAAAGCCTATACACCCGCCGACAAGAAGATCCGCTTGCTCCAACCAAACCCTAAAACTCCTAAAGCCTGAACGCGACCAAACAGTAGAACCCCCAGCAGACTATACCCTGAGATATACCCGATTCTAAAATAGTATAGTTTCCACTATCATACCTGTCATCCCTATATTACCCCTATATTGAAATCCGGCAAAACCCCTCAAACCTTTGAAGCCTTGCAGAATTCGCACTTGCTTCAACAATGGTCCGGCTGCTAAGCAGGTGTCCGATGTTACCTGTGACCACCGAGGGGTTCCTAGGCCAGCCGCCCTAGCCTGAGTTGGAGGGGTTTAGGGTTTAGGGGTTTAGAGTTTAGGGGTTCAGGGTTTAGGGGTTTAGGGGTTTAGGGATTTAGGGGTTTAGGGGTTTAGGGTAGCTTTAGGGTTTATGCGCTTTGGGTTCGGGGCTTGGATCGCGGCGATATGGGGATGCGAGGGAGATGTGAGGCTTAGGAGTTCAGAGCGTGCGATCTCCTCCATGTAGTCAAGATTCCACAGAGGGGCTAGGCTTACAGCAAGAAGGCTTCGGACTGGGGATCTAAGCGTGATTCAAAACCGACCTGCCAACATCCTATCCAGTTGTCTTCCGGTAGTGGCTCACTCATGATTATGCAGGGGTCTTCTTAACCCTAGACGCTAAACCAACAAATCCTAAACCCTAAACCCTTTTTACCACGTGTGGGTATTCCTGAAACTCCGGGTCCCTAGCTGCATATCTCGAAGCTCCATACCCCGGCAAAATGGTCCCCCCCAAAATATGAGTGGTCCAGACCTAAACCGCAAAGGCCCGCAACCCTAAGCCCTAATTAAGTCTGTTTAGGGCCTATAATAGTAGCTTCCAATTTGTTTCCCATTCCCCCCACAATCCCCCCCTCATATTTCTACATACACACCCCACTTCCAGAGCGGCCCAGCCGCATCCACGTCGACACAAGTGCAGACAGCATCTGTCAGGACAATTGCGGCAAAGACATTGGTCATGAACCTGTTACTGGCGCGGATACGTGGGATTACTATGCGGCTTAGAAGGGTCATGAATTTACTTTTCTGCATCAGAAACCTAAGGCCCTATACTGAGTCTCCCTGACCCTCCAAGTAGGCTCAAGGCTTTGCAGGATCATGGCTTAGGGTTCAGGGCTTGGGGTCAGGGACTGTTGAGCCGGAGGGCTTAGGATCATACCCTGGAAGCCTAGGAACCTGTCATTGCCAGCACTTATTGAAATTTCGGGGTTTCAGACCCCAAGCCTAAATCTAGCCCTTCTTGGGGTAGTAACGTTTATTATAGGGTTTAGGGCTTAGGTCTGGGGTTTAGGGGAAGTACATGGAAACTCGCATCGAAACCGCTCTCAGACCTACATGCCTCAACAGAGTCCAAACATACCGAGTTGGACTCTCCATACTGTAGACTGTATTCCTAGGCAAATTGTAATTTCCATAATTAGGTGGAACCCCAAGACCCGGAAAGACTCTAACACTTAATATAGGAATCCCCAAACATGAAAGTACTCATGTTGTTGGGAAACCCTCATCCCTACAATCTACAATATAATGCCAGTTTCCATGTCATTTTCAGACTCGCAACCTGCTGTTGGACGCATACGTCGCAAATTTCAGAAGAAGGCCGGACCATGTCGTGGCATCGCCATGGCCTGGATTTCATAATTTTATGGGGCTTATATCAGGGTTTTATCGGGATAATGGAAAAGAAAATGGAAACTACTACTGGGTTATATAGAGTTTAGGGCTCAGGTTTTAGGATTTGCGGCTTTGGGTGAGGTTTCCCCGGGCAGGTAGGTTACGAAAGACCAGTGTTATCTAAACACAAATATAAGGGATAAGGTTACAACCTGGTCATAACTTGAGTGTTTTCCTATCTGGAATTCCCCTCCAACAGATTCTTCTAATATCCTCAAAATCCCCACAACGCCCCCCCACCTCTTCAACAAGCAGGCTCGAGGTTAGTTCAATGACCTTTGTCGTTTTTGGCCCTTAGTCGTTTTAGGCCCTTAAATCGTTTTAGGCTCAGGCCCTGAGTCGTTTTTGGCTCACCTAAATCGTTTTAGGCCCTTAGTCGGTTTGGGCTCAAGCCTCCTAGGGTTCGGGCTAGGGATCGGAGTCTAGTGGTCGCAATCTAGGGATTCAGGCTGTAGGGTTTGGGCTCCAGGGTTTGCAATGTAGGGTTCGGGCTAGAGTTCAGGCTCTGGGTTCGGGCTCTAGGGTTCGGACTTTCGGGCTCGCTTTAGGGTTTGCATGGGCTCTGGGCTAGGGGTTCGGGCTCCAGGATCGGGCTCTAGGGATCGGGCTGTAGGGCTCAGAGCTTAGGATTCGGGATCTTGGACTCAGGGGTAGGATTTAAGGTTTAGGGTGCAATTTTCTTAATGATGTGGGATCCAATGGGCGGATGGCTATAATTCTCTTATTGGATAACGCTGCATAACAGGTGAATGCTTGGACTTGAGATGCTGAACCCTAAGCCCAATACCCAAAACCTAAAACCGTAAACCCAAAACCGGAAACTATCCAAGAGGCTGATCTGCTCGGTCTTTGCTCTCACAAACTTCGCAGAGAGATTCGTCCTCCTTCGCAATTCAACGGGTTTCCTCGAAACATTTGCGGTTTAGGGTTTCGGGCCTGGGCGGCTTGGATTTGACAATTTTCCCCATAAGCATCCCCTCAGTGCCACTTTAAATCCCTAAACCCTTTTGCGTCTGGTGGGCCCGCGCACAGCCAGAAAGAGCCTCCACCGAGGCCCGGGAGAAATCGATAAACTCTAGGCTCTAAACCCTAAACCCTCCTTAAAGTCACTAAGGCCCTGAGGGAGCCCCCATGATTGAGAAATCCTGGAATCTGGGCTAGAATAAGCCCCTTTTGGGGCATTCATCCGTAGAGACCACCGTTTGGGCTGAGGTCAGATGATGTCACGACACGTTGCTCAAATAGGGTTTGGGGTTTAGGGTCCAGGGTGTCTAAGTCAGGATTTACCAAGACCCTCCGATGTAGTACCTTTTCGTAGTCCTAATAGAGTCCTAACCAAAAAACCATTCCAAACCTAAATACAACCCCTTGCTTCTCCATTCTGACGACAACCCTTATTGCAGAGACTTCCCCAAAGAGACCCCTTGAGAAAACAGAAATCCCTCACTTTGGAGCAATGGATCCCCATAGTCGTCCCTTCATGGCCACTACATCCGCTCCCCTCATACCGTGCGAACCACTCGCTACACCCTAAGTTTCTTGCACCAAATAAGTTCTTGTCATTTTTTCTTGTCCACTCCTTCATCCCTACTACAATAACCGCTGGCAAGACAACAGGTTTGTTGCGCGAGCATGCCTGGAAGACTTCGAGCGCGTTATATCGGACTTCTCCTGGGTTTCCACTAAGGAACTTCAACTAATGACCATAATGTGCGAACACTATGAATCATGTGGTTTGCCCAGGATGGTAATTTAGTTCCAGTCCCTAACCTCAAACCAGTCTCTGCCAAGCTGGCGGAGCTTTTCGACGGGTTGATAATCCTGCCATGCGGATTTAGGGTTTGGGGCTTAGGGGGTATGTGTAGGTCTAACGAGTCCAAGGTAATGTCCGATTGCAGACGTACCCGCATGGAGGGCACTTTGCCCACACTTATTTCTTGCGTGCTGTGGCCCAACGTCTTGTTACTTTTAGGGTTTGGGGTTGTTAGGCTTCTCGGGATTTAGGGTTTTTAGGGTTTAGATGTTTTTGGGTTGTGGTGTCAGGGTCCGTTTTTTTGTGTTTAAGGTGTTTAGTGTACAGTTTTTTTTTGGTGGTGGGCGGGGAGTGGCCTGGTGTTTAGGGTTTAGTTTTTGTTAAGGCTTTTAGAGTTCAT